TAAAATTGCAGCATTAAAACAAAAAACACAATTATAGATAATATACAAAAGGAAAATGGAATTATTTTGTATTGTATAATGAGAAATCTAGCAGCCAAAGCCATAGTAGGTAGAATCCAAAGAGAAAATTGGTTAATTAGTACAAGAGACAAACTTTATGGTCTTTTCTGTCATTTTCCATTTTCCACTTTTTTTTCTCTTCTTAACGTCTTATTGGTCCTTATAAAGTTGGAAAATTAAAGGACCAATTGGCCCGTTTATTAATTAAAATTTGTGGTGTATTTATTGTAGGTTTAGTTAGTACTGATTTTCATTCTCATGTGCATTTCGTGTCCTTTTTTTTCCAAATCAATGTTGCTTTTACCAAATTTAATCGAGAAAACTAAATTTTCTATTATATTTTGAAAATTATTTCTCTAACTTCTGTACGCTCTCTCTCACTCTCTATCTTAAACTTTTTTTTTATGGTTCACATCTAGTGTATATAGTGTATATAATTATGCTACATACTCCTATTTTAATTAGTTCTCTAATTATTTTTTTTTTTGTTATTAAGCAAATTAACCCTTTGTTTTACTACAACCTACAAAGTTGAATTTTACTTTTTTCGTTTGTACTCTTTAGACTATTGACATATTATAATGTACGCACTATTGAATGAAGTATGAAATCTGTAAAAACACCAGCTTTAACTAGTGTTTGTTAAGGCACGTGTCTACCTTGTCGTTGCAGTTTTGTCTACCTTGTCGTTGTTATTGTTGTAACTTCCATTGCATGTATGTAATTTTCAGTTTTTTTGTCTTCAAAATTATTTCTTGTACCGTTGTAAAAAATATTAAATAGTATGAATCTTAATATTTTATCCCCAAAAATGAAACCTTACATATTTGATCTAATTTAGTTCTAAATAAATATGCATATTCCAAGGAAAAAACGAAGTATGCTCATTCTTTTTGTTCTTTAATAAGTGGGCATTTTTTTGGCTTACAAAAGAAAGAAACATATCAAGTATATACTATTAATTTTTTATATCTATTTTTAACTTTACTTTTTCTCCTTTCAAATTAATTTAGTATCGTATACTATTATTTTTTCTGCTAAAAAAACTTTTATAGTTTTGTGCCAGTAATCGATAAGACATTTTTTTTTTAATTTTTCCTGAATGGTAACATATTGAGCAAGGATTGAGTGCCATCTTCGAGTCCCCCGAATAATTTCAAAAACACATAATAAAATAAAATTTTCGAAGACGAATTGAATATGGTAATGAAATAGAGGAATGTTTTCGTGTAAGACTTTGTTAACGGACATTTGTACATGTCACTAAATTTTCCAAATTATCACTGTTACCACAATTTTTTGATTATTTTATTAAATAAAATAGAAGGTGAGCTGGTTTTTCTCGTATCCTCTTTGTCCTTTTCTAATCATTTGGCGACACACACGCATATATATTATATATACTCCTAATATACTTTTGTCCCTGCTCAAACAAAAGACATTTTATGTTCGGATAATTATACAGTTAAATTTAATTACAGTTTTTAAAAAGCAATTTCTTATAAAAATAATATTGAGGATAGTTTTTTTCTGAGAAAAATTATTGCAGAATATTACATAAACTTGGTTGGTTCTTAATAATTTTGAAGTAAATTTAATAATTCCAATGAACTAGAAAAGTTATCAATAGTTTTTTGGTTGAGAGAATTTATTATGGACTGGAAGACCAACATTCAAAAATCATTTTACTGAGATTTTAAAAATATTGTTCACTGTAAACAGTTTATATAATAGGAATATTCACCTTTTGCATATTTGAAAATTTGTCCGTGTTTTGGTATAAGTTCTTCAGTTTTACAATAACAAAAATCTCTCTGTCGATAGTTTAACAATTTAGAATGTATATTGTTATATTTGTAACAAAAAATATTTAGTGTGGTCATTTTTTTAAGTTACACATGTTTTAACTGATAATAAATCAATTGATTTGTATCATTTTAAATTATTTTTCCGATGTGGAATTTTAACACGTTTCTTCGAGAAAATGATTTTTACCGACCAATTTTAGACCAAATTTTATTGGCAATTATCCTACATGGGTCATCTTATTCGGATCAATAAATTTGGATATGATACTATGTCAAATTAACTTTGTAACTTAAAACCACTTAGCAGTAAATAAATTAACCTCAATCCAATTTACCTTATGCCGGGTCTAATCTTATTTTATATTTTTTTGTCGGTCTAATCTTATTTAATGTGGGATCTACTAAAACATTTTTGTTTATAATATCCAATTAGTTCAAAAAGTATCGGATCCATCTATATTGATATAGATTTGACCTTTAGTCCTAAGAAATTGTGGGCTAGTTGAAATCAGAAACTAGATATTTTTGTAGCAATAAATTCATTATAAATAAGCATTATTTATTTTGGTAAATTCATAAAAAAAATTAATTTGGGCATTTCAATCAAATCAAAAGATGACTAAGACTCTATGTGTTGCGAGTTCGACCACGTCAATGAAAGATACTTATGAGTCTTGTACGGACGTAAGATGTAGATCCTGTTGTGTATTTAGCAGCAAATGTCGAAACACCATCGTTCGCACCAATATTTTATAATTTTTAGATAGTTAATCTTAGAAGAAATTTCGTTAATTTCTTTTACGCTAAATCCAACTGATAACACAAAATATGAGAATAAACGAAGTCCAAGCAAAAAACAATAAACAAAAATTCAATATTTATTATAAAAGTGTGGTAGTATAGTAGTAACACAAATGGTTGGTTTTTTCGTATTTCGGATTCAAATTTTTTTAGAACGAAAGGTTATTTCAAAATTAGAATATATAAAAGCTAATTTTGGATACCGAAGAGATTATGAATAAAAAATAAAAATTTGACGCTTTATTTAAAAAACCCGAATAGTTCAAAAAAGTAATAGATAAAGGTAAAAACTAACAGTACAAAATCGTTTACACTGACACTAATTATTACGATTTTCTTATAATCAGCAACTATTAAAGCTTAGTATTATTACCAATCAAACCAACATTAGATAGTGCTTGTGAGATGGTTTGGACCATATATTAGCATAGACCAAAACAACATTATGTTAAAGAGACACTAAAGTTAAAATCCTATATGTCATTTCAATTAATTCTACGTATTTTTATTAATTTTATAACATAAACCCTTTAATACATATTTTGTAAATTTAAGTCCAACTAAATGTAATATTTAGACTTATCATATTATCTATTTTTAAAAAAATTTATATTTTAAAAACATTTTATTATTATATTTGTGACAATATTATTTATTGTGTATATATGTATTTAGATTAAAATGATATATAAAATATTTACATATTCATTATTGAAAAATATATATTGTTTTTCGTTTATTATGTCCGACAAATTCATATAAATCTAAAATTTATCTGATTGATCGCATGCTCTATAATTTACATAAATAATAAAAATTACATGAATAATAAAAATTAATTTTACACTTAAAATAT